CCTGAATAAATGTTCCTTTTGAATTATGAAACGAATGAATGAATAAATGTAAGTGAATACTTGAAGATGTATAGTGTAGTTGCATCCTCCCACATCCTACTCACCACCATTAATCACTTGCAATGTTTTGATAAATTTCACTCTAACTAAAGATGGGACTATATGCCTGACTTCTTATCTATTTTAATCTTAATATTAAGCACTTTCCCATGTTTTAAAAATTTCTTGTAGATTATTTTAAGGTCTATATTCTGCTTTTATAATTGGAAATTCCACAGTTTACAATGAACCTTTCATTTTTAACCATTTTTAACTATTATAATAAACAACGCTATAATTCATTTTTTAATAAGATTTTTTAAAAATGTATTTTTATTTACTTCCTCAGACTCTTATTCCTAGATGTGGAATTACTAAGTGAAAAAGTAAGGAGAGTTTTAGAGCTTTTGATACTTACTGAATAATTGTTTTACAATACAGTTTTAGCTTTTTATATTTTTACTGGCATTTTAGGAGAGTGTCTGTTTTGGGAGGAGAATAAACTCTAAGTCTCTGCTATTTTGATAAATTAAAAATTATAATTGTCCGTTTTGGTTTGTCTTCATTTACAAAAGGAGGTTAAACTTTTCTCTGAAAGATTCCTTACAGTATCTCTTGTGACATAACATTTTAATAAAATTTCTAGATTTTTCCATATCGATAGATCTAATTGCACCTCTTTGAAGCTACCATTGATATTCACTCCTACTTTTTCACATTCTGGAGTTTTCCATTCCTGATATACAGCTCTTAGTCTCTTAGTTCAGACACTAGATCTTAGCTATGCATGAGCCCTAGTTGGCTGGGCAGCCCCTAGAAGAGCATATCAGGTTCATTATGTTGAGTAGATTCTATCAGAAAGCCACAGTTCTTGGCATGTGGATGTACACGGTGAGCAGGCAGCCTTGGGTAATTGAACAACTCGTGGTGAAATGGTTCAGCTTTCAGAAAGGCTGTGCTCTTTGATCTTCACAAGCATTTCAAGTCTTTTTCACTTCCAGCAAGCAAGATTGTATCATCTGCATATCATAGGTTGTAAATGAATCTTCCTCCAATTTGCATGCTACGTTCTTCATATAACCCAGCTTCTTAAATTATTTGCTCAGCATACAGATTGAATAAGTATGGCAAAAATGTTTCAACCTGGCACACACATTTCCTGATTTTAAACCATCCAGTATCCCCTTATTCTGTTTGGATATCTGCCTCTTGTCTATGTACAGGTTCCGCATGGATACAATGAAGTGTTCTGAAGTACCCATTCATTCAATGTCATCCATAGTTTGTTAGGGTCCACATAGTCGAAAGTCTTGGCATAGTTAACAAAACAGAAGTAAACCATCTTTCTGGTATTCTCTGCTTTCACCCGAGACTCATCTCATGTCAGCAATGATATCCATTAGTCCAAGTCATCTTCTGAATCCAGCTTGAATTTCAGGCAACACCCTGTTGATGTACTGCTACAATCATTTAAAAATTATCTTCAGCAAAATTTTACTTGCATGTGATAGTAAGGATATCATTCAGTGATTTCCACATTCTGTTGGCTCACCTTTCTTTAGAATGGGCACAATTATGGATCTCTTCCAATCAGGTGGCCAGGTAGTGACATCGATGAGTGAGTCCCCCTAGTGATGTGTCAGTTTGTTGAAGCATTTCAGTTTGTATTCCATCAGTTCCTGGAGCCTTGTTTATCACCAATGTCCTCAGTGCTGATTGGACTTCTTCCTTCCATTCCATCCGTTCTTGGTCATATGGTACCTCCTGAGATGATTGGGCATTGACCAATCTTTCTTTTTTTAATGCTTTATTGTAAATTATGTGATAGTTTATATGGGAGAACATTAGCTTCACATTGATCCCATTGTATATCATTTCCTTGCCATGGTTACAATCCCCTCCATGCATCATCCACCAACCAAAGGGTGTACCCCGTAAGCCTGCCCCCGCAAGCCTGTCCCCCGGTCGTCAGCACATAGCCACTCTCCCTCTCTGGGTCCAAAGTCCCCAGCTGCTCCATCTCTCCACGTCATAGTCTCTGCCTCTATCTCAGGCATCACTGCTTCTCTGGGTAGGGTCCTGCTCTCCACTCTTCTCCCTTGATGGTCCCAGGGACCTCTGTTCCTGGACTGCAAAGTTAACCACCCTTCTCCTTTTGCTACAAAACGTCTACCTTTACATTTCCAACCCTCACAGTCAGTCCTGATAACAATTATTCACTATTGTATCACAAGAGACCTATCTGCATTTCCTTTCATCAGCCCCACCCAGACAGATTGGATACTACTCACTGGAGATTCTACCTTTTTTCATGCCCTCTGGATCTAGGCTGGTTCTTTTCTTTTTTCTACTCAGTGGAGATTCTACCTTGCTCCATACCCTCTGGATCTCGTTTCCCTCTTGAAAGCTTGTAAGCCAGTCACTTGTTGCCTCTGTACCCCTCCCCTCCCCCGTTCTGGGTAGCCAATGTCCAAGTTGCCCATCCCTGTCCTCTCCATGTATGAAGGGGGTGGGAATGATCCTTGCTATGAAGATCTGCTCCCTCTTTTTAGCTACTGTATCCATTGTTGTTATGTGCTGTCGAGTCAGTTCCGACCCATAGTGACCCTGTACAGGGTTTCCGAGGCTGTAAATCTTTACGGGAGCAGAACGCCTCACCTTTCTCCCACTGAGCGGCTGATAGTTTCGAACTACTGGCCTTAAGGTTCGCAGCCCGATTCGTAACCACTACGCTACCAGATAGCATAGGTATAGGTTAAGTTCATCAAATTGCATCAGATTATTCTTTTTTTCCTCGTCTTTTTTCTTCTAGTTGAGCTCTGATCATCCAGTTATTGAAGCCAGGTCAAGTGGGTATTATCTGCAAGTGTGGGTGTTCTTATGCATATGCCCTCTCTTCTTATCAGCTGAATGCTTCACCCTCCACTCTAGTCCTCTGTGGCTATGTCACTGACTCTGGGCCCAAGAGTCCCCAGGTCTTGCCACACTGCTGGCCATCCAGGTCTTCACCCGGGTTCACAGGAGTCTATTGAGCCTTGTAGGGCTTAGCTTGCAGCTTCATTGCTGCTTTTCCCTTACTTCCTCTTATCAATGATGAGCGTGGTTACCTATCAGAGCGTGTATTCCCATTGAGTTTAGTCTTAGGAGGTTTGCCCTGAGGGGACCTGACCCCTTGCCTTGATGTCTCCTGGGTGAGCCACTTGTTTATTCTTGTAGTAATCAGTCAGTCTCCCTGTATTGTTGTCTTTTTCCTATCAGTCTTTCTTTCAGGAAATATCTTCTGTTCTTCTAGCCACTCCAGGCTGTTGACCAGTTCTTTTGGTACAATGACTCTGTAGAGTCCATCCATCTTGATTTGATACTCAACATTTTCACTGTGCATATGTGTGTGTGTGTTAAGTGACATAAAATTGGTTCCAACTCAGTGAGCCTGTATAGAGTTTCTGAGGAGTGGCTGGTGGGTTTGAACTGCTGAACTTGAAGTTAGCAGTACAGTGCTTATCCTACAGTGCCACACCAGGACTCCTCATTATTTCCAAACTTATTTCATATTGCTATTTTTCAAATAAGGAAACTGATTCTGAGAGAAAGCGAATGACTTGCCCACTCACAGCCTTGTCTGTGGCCAAGCTAGAATTCACATCCGTTCTAGCTTCACAGAATTTGCTCTGAAGATCTATCAGTGCTTCTTAACGATGTCTGCATGTAAGACTCACATCAGGAACAGTTTTATAACAAGGTGTTCTGGACTGTGACAAGACTGATTTTTGTTGTGAAGAAGGAATTTGTGGTGTGGCACTGTAGGATAAGCACTCACCCACAAGGTTGGTTTGAAACTCAAGGTTGGTGGTTCACACTCAGCAGCCACTCCTTGGAAGCCGTATACAGGGTCGCTGTGAGTCAGAACTGACTCAATTGTACTTAACAACAACAACATTAAAAAACAAGAAAGATTAAAAAAATGCATGAGCTAACCTTTCAAGTTTAGAAGCCACAGAAAAACAGCAAAATAAACCCAGGTGAAAGTAGATATGGAAGGAACACATTTTGAAAACTAGAAGACAGTAGTTAGTGTTTAACCTCATATTAAAATTTGGGTGTTAATTTTCCTTTGTTTTTTTAGGTCTAAAGGCATCACAAATGGTCGAGCGCGGCTGCTCTGGTTCACACAGACTTTCCTCTTTGGAATAGCCTCTCTCTCAATCTTGATTGCTTACAAACCAAAGCGCCAAAAGCAATCTTAAAGAAGACACCTGAAAGATTTCGCTACACTTCAAAGTTTCTCTCCTTCGAAGCTATTTAAGACCCTCTAGTTAATTGATTTTGGGGGAGCGCGATGGCTCTGTAGGATACTCACTGGACTGAGGACCACAAGCCCACCAGCTGCTCTGTGGGAGAACGATGAGGCTTTCTGCTCCTGCAAAGATTTTAAAAGCCTCAAAAACCCTATACAACAGTATCAACAAGTTACTCATTTTGTGGCCCAAAGAAGTACAGAAAACTCAAATATTAGAAGGCTGCGTACCATGACTGGTGTGGCACTTTAGGATAAGCACTGGACTGCTAAACTCAAGGTCAGAAGTTTAAACCCACTGTAATTTCCTGGGAAATGACACAGGGTCGCTGTGAGTCAGAACCGATTCGACGGCACGCGACAACAGACATTCATTATTCTTTCATCTGCTGTAACTGGGCTTGAGGAGACTACGTGTTAGTTAGGGGAGAAGCAGGGAACGATGGCAGCTCTCCCACGGAGTAACCTCTGGGTCAGAGGGCACTTCCAGCTCTCTTCTCGAGGTCCTTGACTTTTGGTGCTCACCCCATCATTTGGGCTAAGAGCCTAGCCATTGCTTTGGATCATGGGAAACTAATTTCTGAGTTTTCTGTGCTTGAGTGGGCCACAAAATTAATCTTTCCAAACTTCTCAACAACAACTACTTTCTAGCCAATCCACGCTTCCTGCTTGTTATGGTTGTTAAGTGTCATTGAATCAGTTCTGACTCATAGTGGACCTGTGGGAGGTTTATAAGGAGCAGCTGGTGGGTTTGGACTGCCGACCTTGGGGCTCAAACCAACCTTGCGGTCCAGTGCATTATCCTGCATGCCACACCAGGACTAGTCCCCCCACATGCTGGCCTTCTGATTGGAACATTTTACCCTCATCTCCACCATCTTAGCTCTCCTTTCTCAAAACTTCTTTCTGAATCAATATGGAGTAACCCTTCCACAAGCTTCCTGTGAGGTAAGCTCTAAGCTCTGAAACTCCAGAGAAAGAAGACAGACAGGGAGTGCTTAGGCAGGGCAGGCTGAGAAATTAGCTCCCTTACTTTTCAAGCCCTGGTGTGGCACTGTAGGATACGCACTGGACTGGTAACCTCACGATCAGCAGTTCAAATCCACCAGCGGCGAACTGACTCAATGACACACAACAACACAACACATCAAAACATGGAGGACATGTTAGGGTCCACAGGAGATGTCTAAGAATGCCTTCCATTTTCTTCTCTCCATCTGAGGACTCCACTGCCATAGACACAGATTCTCAGGCATTGTTTGTTCAATGATTCCACTTTCTGGGGTTATTTTTTGTATCATTTCAGCTTTCATGTGAAATAGCAGAACCCATTCATGTAACATCTCAAAGAACAGCCTTAAACTGTCCTTGACTAGAAGTCCCACCTTTCTGTGAGTCCTCTTGTGGGAACCCTGTTCTTCATTTCATACTTTCTTGTTCTGTCACTTTCTCTAGACTGTGATTGTCTCCTGTAAGTGCTGATTTACTTACTCAAAACACACAGACATTCCTTCTCTAGAGATTTGAGTCCACGGGCTGTCCAGCTAGTTAATACCTCTCCTAGTCAGCTGTTGTTGTTGTTGCTACGTGCTGTCGAGTCGGTTCTGACTCATGGCAAGTCATTTACCTAGATAGCCATATTACTTACTACTGACTGGTGGTGGGCAGTGCCAGCATGACACACAGACTCTGTCCCCTTAACCTGGCAGCAGAGCTAGGAGCCATTAGGGCTCTTGTCCTACAGGACCACGTGCTTTTTTTCTGGGAACTAGTCCTCATTCCCCTTTTCTGGTACAGTAGGGTGGAGTTGTTGTTGATAAGTACCGTGGAGTCAGAAATGACTCATAGTGACCCTGCACAGGGTTTCCGAGGCTGTAAATCTTTACAGGAGTAGAGCACCTCATCTTTCTCCTGCGGAACCGCTGGTAGTTTTGAACTGCTGACCTTGAGGTTGGCAGCCTGACTCGTAACCACTATGCTACCAGAGCTCCTTGTGGGGTGGGGTAGGTTATTTTTATTAAGCAAGCATTATGAAAACCCCCCTGCCACCAAAAAACAAGTACAAATACAACCCTGAAAGTTGATGAGCCATGAATTCTTGCTAGTGAGGATGAATTTCTATGATATCTTTGTCTTTCCTTGCTTCTCTTGTGGTTAAGGGATTGAGTTAGAAGCTACTGGTAGTTCCACAGGAGAAAATGAGGCTTTCTGTTCCCGTAAAGATTTACAGCCTCGGAAACCCATGCAGGGTCGCCATGATTCAAAACCTACTCCACGGCACATAATCACCACCACCACCGAAGTAGGGAAAAAGATTTTTGAACATGAGGAAATTCAACCCAACCCTTTAAAAAATATGGTCCACTCTAAGGAGGAGTAATGTTGTTGTTGTTAAGTGCCGTAGAGTCGGTTCCGACCCATAGCGACCCTGTACAGGGTTTCCGAGGGTGTAAATCTTTACGGGAGTAGAAAGCCTCATCTTTCTCCCACGGAGCGGCTGGTAGTTTCGAACCGCTGACCTTAAGGTTCGCAGCCCGATTCGTAACCACTACGCTACCAGAGCTCCTTAAGGAGGAGTAATAATGACGGTAATAATAATGGGGACGGACTGTTGAATGGAGTGAATGAAATAAAATGCTATGAATGATCTCTTTAACCTAATGCTTATCTTGCATTTGTTAGTTTTGATATAGGAGGGTAAGTCAAAACGTATTGCTTGCGGGGTTCCAGTGCATGCATGTTTGGGTTTCGTCAAAGCAAACTGTGTTTAAACATGTCTCTGGAAATAGTGGATAGTTGCAGATAAGTTCTCTCAGTAATGCACTTGGTATTGTTGTTGTTGTTGAGTGCCTTCGAGTCGATTCTGACCCATAGCAACACCCTGTGTAGAGTTTCCAAGGAGCAGCGGATGAGTTTGAACCGCCGACCTTAGACACCTTCAAATAAAGGTCCAATTAAAACAGTGGTTCCTAAGGCATCTGCTGGGTCACTTAAATTCAAGGCAGAGGGGTCAGCTCAAAAGGTTATGGTAAGCCTTAAAAAAGGGGGCGGGGATGGGCGTTTAAAAAAAAAAAGGTTATGGTGACTGTTTTTTGGGATTGCTAAGGGGGTAATCTTGATAGAGATAGGGAGTCCTGTGTGGCACTGTGAGATAAGCACTAGACTGCTAACCACAAACTAATTGCAAAGTCAGCAGTTCAAACCCATCAGCCACTCCTTGGAAACCCTATATAGGGTTTCTATGAATCAGAACCAA